CTACTTTGTTTAACTGAATTGCCATGCTGGTATCTGTAGTCTGCCTAGCTGCTGCTGTGCCCATAATTAGTGGGATACAGCAGTGTGCTTCCAGGCCTCTAAGGACCAGAGAACTCTGAGCACGTAGCCTGTCCTCCAAGGCACCGGATCTTCCACTCATGAAGTCATGTCCGCCTCGTGTGCGATCCAAAGCATCCTGGCATCTCTTCATCTCTCCATCCATGGCTACAGACCCACACTGGCTGATCTTTAGGACATTAAGGACTGACAGGGACCATTATCTATAACAAGCGACATTTTATTGCTATCTTGTGAGTGTTTTTAACACATCTTGCTTAATAAATTGGTCTTTTAATACTACACTTAGTGACGTCTTCCCCAGGATCAACATGTATTTGTGAGACTTTGCACAGAACAAAACAAATACAATAAGTACAGCTGTACTTACAATAAGTGTTGTAGCACATTTTTTCAATCATTGGTCATAGTTTTAGTTTCAATGAAAATGATGATGTCAGCTGAAAGCATATTTTCCCAAAAAATCTAAAATCAAGATTAAAATGTCTACCACTGATACACTAGAATGGATGCAGCGATTATCAGTTAAGAAATATTTTGAATGCTTATATTTTAAAAAACAAATGCAGGTTCTGGAGGTTTTCTGAAAAATGAAAAAAAACAGCCCCCTTATTCCACATATGGTTGACAATTTTACAGTTCTTTCATATTGCAGGGATGTAATAATATTTTCATCTCTGTAGTTGTTCTGAAATGTAAGATCTAAATCTTTCATTTAAGAGTGTTTTTACTCTCTAGCTTCATGTGGTTCTTTAGAATCCTGTAATATGATAAAATGACAGCAAATTTACTGCAGGTTTTGGATGAAAAACTCAAGTGCTGCCAAGACTATTTTACCATTTGTGATTCCTGCTGTAAAAGAGTTGTCGTGATTAGGAACTTTAGGTCGATTTATTCACTTTGGTTTCAGTCTGATTTAACAGACTGTAGAAAATGGTTATACCCAATATTTTCTAAAGTATTATTAGCGAGGACACTTGTAGTTGGCTAGTGTCATATAAAGAATATAAAAAAAGTCAATTTATTGAAGTAACAAATGTGAATGGTAACTCACGTTAGCATAATGTAACCCCTGGGGAAGTCAGCCACGGCAGCATTTTCTGTTGATCTCTAACCAACAGCGATGCATGCAGGTGAACCATTTGGCAATGTATTTTACATTTTCTTTAGTTTAGTTTAGAGTAACATAGAAAACAAGCTAAACATATAAATTAATGTATGTAACAAACAGTGTTTAGAGATTTTATAAAAACTTTTTAATATCAGTTTGAATACCATTATTGTTAAGAGCATCATGCATTAAAATGTGGAATATAATATAAAGAAAGTACATGGAATGATCTTCAGTTCTCTCTCACAATGGTTTATTAACTTTGGGGCCTCCTTCAATGCTTGACAGAAAGGAATACAGCCATTCATATTCAATGGTTCTCAGAAAACCATTGGGGTTGATTTACTAAAACGCGCAAATGCAAAATTAGGAGCAGCTCAGCATAGTAAGTAATCAGCTTTCAGGTTCAGCTTGTTCAATAAAGCTTTGACAGAAAAATGTGATCTGATTGGTATCTATGCAGAGCTGCACCAGATTTTGCACTCTCCAGTTTTACCCACTCAACCCACTCACATACTACTACGCATCACACTGGGCCAGGATCATCAACTGGTGCCGCCATCAAGACTGTAAACTATGGATGGAAATGAAGCAAACCACTTCCCAATTCCCCCTACAATGTATCTCCTGGCTAAACCCTAGGCACACTAACAACTCAATACTCACACACCATTGGACCCCTCTTACAAGTAGTGTCAACGTCCCATATACTCCTTTCTACAATCTATAAAGTTATGGATATGACCCCAGTAATTAGTAACCCCAAATTTGTATGCACAATCCTCAGTTATTCTCAATAATAAAATCCAATATGTTCCACTTTAAAGATATTAGAATACAGGACAAACACAGATCTCTTGCGGAATCAAGCTTGCTCTCCCAATCTCCCCTTCCCAGATGGGTTACGTTACAATTATGCTACTTTTTGAACTCCTCTTTTGGGAATGTATGCTCAGATAGGGGCCACTACAGCATTCTCACAAACATACATTTTATTGACCACACCCTCAGATTTTCCTCCTCTACTTTTCCTTCAGAAATGGGAGAGTGGTCTCCATACACAGTTTACTCCAGAACAAAGAGAACAAATTTTGTATTTCACATATGTTTTGCTGTAAAGCAAGGAAGCATAAAAAATGTTTGCATATATCGATCCCTGTATATATAAATGTGCTATCCAAAACAAGAATGCTGTACAAACTACTTACAAATTTAGGAAACTACAAGACAGAGTATTACAAAATATGCATACAACATACACATGCACAAGCTATCTATCCTTCCTAGGAAATGGGCATGGACAATGTAATAGGAATACACTAAACAGTTACTTAACTTGGGTTGTATATTTAGTGTCATCCCCAGGTAAAATATCCTCCTTGCACAGACTTTCTTTGGTCTTATGGTGATATGGAGTCATCTTCTTTCTATTCAAGATTTCTTCCAAAACTTCTTGTTTCTCTGAGTCCTGCAAACTAGTTCTCTTTGCCTTCAGTTCATGGCTGTGTTCAAATTGTTTGTTCCCTCCCCCTGCTTCCTGTCAACATCACTTCTAGTTGCATAAGCTCCATGAACCAGTCAAATGAATCCATTGGTATGTGAATAGGGAAAGCATAGCATCTAAAAACAATACATGATAACCAAAATTCGTTATTCCATATATTTATGCTTTAAAAAAAATCACTAAAACAGCCATAGTAACACAACATATCACTTCTCCATCTCCAATAAAACCCAGGAGTTGGGTTATCAACTCCTAACCAGATGGTATAGAGTGCTCACCTTTCTAAACAAACTATGTAAGCAAGTATCCAACCTCTGCTGGAGATGGAAACGACAGAAGAGAACCCTCTTACACATCTTTTGGTAATGCCTCAAACTGAATAATTTCTGGAGCCAAGTGAAAGAGATTACTCATAAGCTACCGATATTGATAGTGGAAATACCCAGAGCATCTTTTTGTTACATCTGAATCATTTATCTAGAAAACATTACATACAATGCCTACTGATCCCCTTAGTAATAGTAGCTAGAGCATGTATGCCTCTGGATACAAGAATCACCCCTACCAACCAACTGTAGCTTTCCAAAATTGCAAAAATCCACCATATGAAAGATTTAAAGCTGTATAATATACAAAAAACAAAATTGTAATATTGCATCTTACAACTCTTAGGCTTTTTTTCCTCTGTTTTCACCTGGTGATCTGGACAATAACACAACTCCTGTATTACAGTGTCCCCATTTTGGATGCAGGAGCACAGAGGGCACCTTTGGACAGCAGCATTGTCAGTGTGGGGGAAGGAAATAATAGATGTACTGGAAGATTTAAATACACTAACAAACTGAAGCTGAACTTCAGCTAATACTTTATAAGCAGGTAGTCACTGAACATACCCCACAGAAAGCCACTGCAGCAACTGTGTTTACCTTTACCTGCATATTTTCCTCTATACTCTCTTTCCTCTACGTCCTACTTTGTCCTAGTACTCCCTCTTTCCTACATCTCCTACCCCTACTCTCCTTTTCCACTCTACCTCACTATAAATATTCCTGCTTAAAAGGGAAAACTGTATGTGAGCCTGCGCTGAGGTGGTAAACAGATGAGCTTGTCTACTTTTTTCCTTGTTTGTACTGATTCCGCATCTGATTTCCAACCAGCTTCCAATGCCTACAGTATACTATCACTATATCATATATCATATAGATCAGTGTAACATTAAAAAGTTAATTGAATCCTTCGTTTTGATAAAATAAAATTTGTGTTTCAGATTACAATATTTTAACAAGCTATATTAGCTAAATGACATTTTAAATCCCTAGCCTGCTTATGGTTTTAAACAAAGTGGCAGAGGGATCTGGATTGACACCATTGAACAAATATTGTCATGAGCATATTTGGTCAGTAACATCAGTCAAGTGCCATTGCTTACATTACATCAGCCGGGGATCTGTCATTTGCTATGGGTTCCTGGTACAAAATGATAGTTGTGGTGTTGGTCATTGTATTTGCTTCAGTGGGTCATCGGGGTGTCACTCATTGCTGGACAATGTAATTGACTCTGGAATTAGTATGGTAATACATGGTTTTTTTTGGGGGGGGGGGGGGTTAGAAGGGATTTTTTAAAAGCTGCCTGTTTTTAATTATTATCTATCTTCTTTTACAGAATAAGTAACAAGAAGTACTATGTATCCCATACTCAGGCACATAGGGGGAGGGTCAGATATCTGGGGGACCCCTAATTTTGAATGGGGCTTTGAGATGCCAATGAGTTTCTCCCTACAGACCTCTACACTGGACTAGGGAGGTGAGGATGAGGCCTTTGTCCCCATCAACATGAGAACAGGATGGAAAGAAAATGAATTAAGATCTTTACACAAAGGCGTTAAATTAATAATAATAATAAATTATTTCTCACACAAAACATGGGCATACTTAGAGATATGCCCAAAAAAACACATTCTGCTACTCTGCAATAGCATATGTGTGAGACTTTTTCAGTGTCTGGACTGATTACGCACTGGATACTATGTATCTTTCCACATTGGCAATAAAATTAAGTTTTGAAAGACTCACCATGCCTTTAAAAAAAATACCTTGGAGTGTTTACTCTCCAAAATGTGGTCATTTTGTGGGTTTTTCTACTCTCCTGGGCCTCCAAAAAAGTGATAAGTAGTCAGGAAATTAGATGAGTAATTTATGTCTCTAGAAAGGTGCTTCCTTTGATTTTAGGCCTCTCCATATGGCTAGGCTGTGAAAAAGTCTCAAACATATGATATCACCATACTCGGGATGAGTAGCAGAATATGTTTTGGGTTGTAATTCTAAGTATGTCAATGATGTGTGATAAAAATATTGTCAGGACTTGTGTTGTTACCTGGGTCACTGTCAGGAATGGACTGGCCAGCAATGGTGGGACTCACCTGCCTTTTGATCTGCAGTACCAGGGCTGGCCAGCGGATGCTCCCAGCAATCAGAGACTCAACTTTGCAGCCAGCTAACACCTGGAACTGATTATGCTGGGGTATTTAAGGGATGGCCAGACCCACAGACTCTGCCTTGGTGTTGTGTTTGTCCTGGGCCCTGTATCCTGTTTCTGTCCTGCATCCTGTTTCTGAACCGCTGCTGACTTCTCCTGCTCTGATCCCGGCTCGCTCCTGACCATCCCTCTGCCTGACCCTCTGTACCACGCTGCTTGCTACCTGTTCTGATCCCTGGCTTGTGACCCTGACCATCCCTCTGCCTGACCCTCTGTACTACGCTGCTTGCTACCTGCTGAACCTGGCCTGTGACCCCGACCAATCTCCGCTTGCTCCCCCTGTACCTACCTGCCCAATTGATATTGACCCGGCCTGCCTGATGACGCTTGCTTGTATGTACTGTTATCTGTGGGTGGTTGGTTTGGTTTGGTTTGGTTGCACTGTATTATGTTTTAGTATTGCACTGCGTTTATGTTTGTATTGTTAGTGTTAATAAATTATATTGTTTATAACATATCTGAGGTCTGCGTTTCCCTGCGTCAGCCACACACCTCTGGTCACACCTGGGAGCCCTGACAGTCACCTGCTGGTGGCACTGTTACCAGAGTCAAAGAGATCATGTCCCTGGCAGCAAGGGTTTCCAGGTAATTAGGCTGCACCGGACTTGGGCTGCTGGGAGGTATTTAAGCCTGCCCATAACTGAGGTTCAGTGCTTCAGTGTTCTTCCTTCAAGATGTGTCCCTGCCTGAGCCTAATCCTTGTACCTGATCTTTGTTCCTGTACCTGTACCTGACCCTGAGACCTGTTCCTGTAACTTGCTCCTTGTACCCTGCTTCCTGCATCCAGCTCTCCCAGTACCTTGCTCTCTGCTCCTCTTGTTTCCTGTCTTAGTCCTGTCCTTGTCCTGCTTATGTGTGCTCCCTCCATTTATATATAGTTAGGCTATTGTTTGGGTTGCTGCACTTTCACATTTAATTTGTCACTTTTTATTGTTTATGGTTTACTGGTGTTGGAGTTGTTGGTGTTGAAAGAGTGATATTTATGTTAATAAACTTCATTTAACCTTACTCAGCCTGGTTCCTGATTTCTTAAGGTACACCCCACTGATCTGGTCATCCTAGCTGGATACCTGCTTTTGGCATCCCTGAAAAATATTGATTGAAAACTTCAATTAATCTTTTTGATTGACAACTTACATTTTTGGGCCTCCAAAAATGTTATATGTAGTCAGGAAATTAGATAAGTAATTTATGTCTCTAGAAAGCCTGAAGGTGCTTCCTTTGATTTTGGGCCTCTCCATATGGCTAGGCTGTGAAAAAGTCTCACATATGTGATATGGCCATACTCAGGATGAGTAGCAGAATGTGCTTTCCTGTTTAATTTTACGTTTGTCCATGATGTATGTTAGAAATATTTATTGATAACTTTGTGTAAAAAAAGTACATTTTCATTTTATTTTCTGCATTTTTCCAAAAATTATATTTCAAAACACTCACTATGCTTTTCAGAATATACCTTGGAGTGTTTACTTTGCAGGGTCATTCTGTGGGTGTTTCCACTGTCCTGGTGCTACAGAGCCTCTAAAAATGTGATAGGTAGCAAGTAACTAGATGAGTAATATACAGTATACGTAATTTATGCTCCTTGAAAGCCCAAAGATGCTCCTTGATTTGGGCCACTCTATGCATTTAGGCTGTGAAAAAGTCTCACACATGTGGAATCCCCATATTCAGCAATAAAATATATATAGCAAAAAAATAAAAAAAAACAGTAGGGATTAATTACCACCAAAAGAAAGCTCTGTCTATCTCACAAAAAAGAGTATTTGTCATTTAAAGGTTGAAGCGCTAAAATCTGAAAATTGGCCTGGGCATGAAGGGGATGAAAATTTCCCATATTGAGGTGGTTAAATCTGATATGTGACTTAGTGATTTGGTTTAAAAGATCTTTCATTTTCAATTTTTGCTTAGAGTATACCATTAATCTATGCAGCAGGAGATAATTTATGTATAATTATACTGCTCACACATAAAATAACACAAAAAAACAATGCTTTCATGATAATATACCATTCAATCACACAACAAACAATTCCTGAATAAAACTGTAAATCATCAGTTGAGCCAAACAAATGAGAAAAATGAATACAGCATGAAGAGAGAATTTCCCTGTATTTTGGCAAATGCCCAGGTAGCAGGCAAAGCTCTATAAAATGTAGGTTAGAATAATATTAAGCCTTCTCTGACAGGTAAAATGCCATCTTGGCTGCTGATTTACAATCATTTAAACTGTCCTTCACATCGTGGTATATAGCTTCATCAAACGAGTTCAAATCCTGATCAGTGTGATCAGGAAAACAAGTGACTACTGTTGTTAAAGTATCAAGTTATATATTTGGGTAGTGATAGTATTTAATATTTAGTTATATTTCTAAGACTAACCATTATCAAACTATTGGTTGCTAAAAAAATATTTCTATTCATCTGTATTTTCCAAAATATGCAAAAATTATGGTGATCTAGTAAAGGGTCCTATGCATATACAATAATTTCCAAAAAATCCTTGGGCAAAGGCAAAAAAAATACATTTAAAATAACATTATTGCAGATTGAGATCTACATTTATTAGTTACAAAATCCAGATCTAAGCCATGCAAAATCATTTAAGTAAACATGAGGAGATCATAATGGGCAGATTTTAATTCATCTAAAATTCCCCTTACTGCAAGTCAGAGGTCATGTATGTATTACATTTTGAACATTTTTCTAAAGTGGTCCTAGAGCCTTAATGTTTTTTCACCTTAGTGCATTCTCTGCATTAAGCTAAAAATCCTTCTGTGGCCCAGGATCCCTGCCAGCCTCTCCCCATTTAGATACCTGAGCCTGATCTTGATCCAGCACTGTGCAGCGGCTCTCTTTGCTCTCTCCTCCTCACAAGGTAGACTGATAGTAGCGGGAGCCATTGGCTCCTGCTGCTGTCAATCAAATGCTGTGACAAGGGAGCAGGAGGCAGGGACGAGACCCACTGTCTATGTCCATGGATGCAGGTAGCGTGGCTTGGGATCACATCCACATGAATGCCCATAGGAAGGGGCTTCCTATGGGGGCATTCGCTGATGGAGGAGCCAGGAGCACCTGCTAGGAACCCCACAAGAGTACGATTGAGGTTGCTCTATGCAAAACCACTGCACAGAGCAGGTGAGTATAACATGTTTATTGTTTTATAAAATAAGGATTTTAATCACTTTAAGTTTTTCAAATGTTTAGTAAAAAAGCTAAAGTTCTGACTTTTTTCTATCAATGCATGCTATGGTCATATTACAAAAGATGCTAAAAATCAGCCATGCAAAAAAACACACAAATATGACATGAAAAGCAACCAGGAGTTAAGCACAGTCACAAGAAGGTGCCAATGCATACCTCCTGTTTTATTGGCCTGACCTCCAGAGTGCCCCTGTACCACCAAAACTGTTTAAACAAATACTGAATCTGAAAGACACAACATAGATACATCCCTGCATGTATTCTAGAAGACAATGTACTGTAGGCGTCACACAAATATTGATGGAAAGATCCAGTTATTGTCTATGCATTTGACAAAAAGTTGGAATTTGTATTTTGCAAAGACGGTACAGATGCATTCCAGAGGGTTGTCTGGTATTTATTTTAATTTTATTACAGGTACTTACCGTATTTTTCGCTCCATAGGACGCACCTGACCATAAGACGCCTAGGTTTTAGAAGAGAAAAATAAGAAAAAAATATTCTGAACAGTGGACTGCAGACACCGTACAGGGGATGACCAGAGATGCAGACACAGTACAGGGGGATGACCAGAGACTGCGGACACAGTACAGGGGGATGACCAGAGACTGCAGACATAGTACAGGAGATGACCAGAGACTGTGGACACAGTACAGGGGATGACCAGAGACTGCGGACACAGTACAGGGGATGACCAGAGACTGCGCGGACACAGTACAGGGATGACCAGAGACTGCGGACACAGTACAGTTGATGACCAGAGACTTGCGGACACAGTAACAGGGGATGACCAGAGACTGCGGACACAGTACGGAGAGATGACCAGAGACTGCGGACACAGTACGGGAGATGACCAGAGACTGCGGACACAGTACGGAGATGACCAGAGACTGCGGACACAGTACGGGAGATGACCAGAGACTGCGGACACAGTACGGGAGATGACCAGAGACTGCGGACACAGTACGGGAGATGACCAGAGACTGCGGACACAGTACGGGAGATGACCAGAGACTGCGGACACAGTACGGGAGATGACCAGAGACTGCGGACACAGTACAGGGAATGGCCAGAGACTGCGGACACAGTACAGGGAATGACCAGAGACTGCGGACACAGTACATGGGAATGACCAGAGACTGCGGACAGTGCAGGGGATGACCAGAGACTGCAGACCGTAAAGGAGAGATTACCAGAGACTGCGGACCTTTGGGGAGGGAGGGGGAGCGGGTACCTGAATTTGACAGGTACCTGCTCCCACTTCCGCGGAGTTGTCGTTCCTTCCTTCTTCCCGCGGCGGCTTTCTGTGACAGCCGGGTGCCCACGGCACATGCGCGAGAAGCACTGCGCTTTGTGAATGACCCAGAGCCTTCTGGGACCTGTCATGTGTCCCAGAAGACACCGGACCATTCACAAAGCGCGGCGCTTTCTCACGCATGCGCGCAGTGGGCACCTGGCTGTCGCAGAAGCCGGCGCGGGAAGACTGCAGCGCTGGAGGCGAGGAACTGGTAAGGTCTTGCAGGAGAGAAGAGCTGAGCGGGTAGACCGGGCCCGGTAGATTCTGACATGGGTGGCGGCAGGAAATACCGGACCGGGGCCGCTTTACATTCACTCCATAAGACGCACTGACATTTTCCCCTTTTTTTTTTGAGGGGGAAAAAAGTGCGTCTTATGGATGCGCTAGGAAAAATACGGTATAATAGTTCTGTCAATTTATGCAGCGCTTTACATATATATACAGGTGTGTTCAAAATAATAGCAGTGTGTTGAAAAAAGTGAATAAAGCTCAAAATCCTTCTAATAGCTTTTATTTCCATACACACAAATGCATTGGGAACACTACACATTCTATTCAAATCAAAACAAGAAGAAAAATATATCAAATTTGTGTTGTTCCTCTAAAATAAATTGAAGAAAAGTGAATATTAGACTGTTCATAAAAATAGCGAGTGATTGTATTCTCTTTACAAAACTCTCAAACATTCACTATATAAACTGAAAAATTTGAAGATTTTGCTTTCCTTTGAATCACTTAATTAATATTTAATTGTATAACCACTGTTTCTGAAGAACTGCTGTACATCTGTGTTGCATGGAGTCAACCAACTTCTGGCACCTGTGAACAGGTATTCCAGCCCAGGATGACTTGGACTACATTCCACAGTTCTTCTCTATTTCTTGGTTTTGCCTCAGAAAACTGCATTTTTGATGTCACCCCACAAGTTTTCTATTGGATTAAGATCCGGGGATTGGGCTGGCCACTCCATAACGTCAATCTTGTTGGTCTGGAACCAAGATTTGCACATTTACTGGTGTGTTGGGGGTCGTTGTCTTGTTGGAACACCCATTTCAAGAGGCATTTCCTCTTCAGCATAAGGCAGCATGACCTCTTCAAGTATTCTGATGTATTCAAACTGATCCATGATCCCTGGTATGCGATAACACCGTAGTATGAGAAACATCCCCATATCATGATGCTTGTGCAACCATGCTTCACTGTCTTCACAGTGTACTGTGGCTTGAATTCAGTGTTATGGGGGTCATCTGACAAAATACTGTCTCCGGCCACTAGACCCAAAAAGAACAATCTTACTTTCATCAGTCCGCAAAATGTTGCACCATTTCTCTTTAGGCCAGTCAATGTGCTCTTTGACAAATTGTAACCTCTTCAGCCCACATGTCCTTTTTTTTCAACAGTGGGACTTTGCAGGGGCTTCTTGCAGATAGCTTGGCTTCACATAGGCGTCTTCTAATTGTATCAGTACTCACAGGTAACTTTAGAACCTTCTTTGATCTTCCAGGAGCTGATTGTTGGCTGAGTCCTTGCCATTTTGGCTATTCTTCTATCCATTCGAATGGTAGTTTTTTGCCTTTTTCTTCTACGTCTTTCAGTTTAGGTTGCCATTTTAAAGCATTTGCGATCATTTTAGCTGAGCAGCCTATCATTTTCTGCACTTCTTTATATGTTTTCCCCTCTCCAATCAACTTTTTAATCAAGGTACGCTGTTCTTCTGAACAATGTCTGGAACTACCCATTTACCTTAGAATTTCAGAGAGAAATGCATTGTAACCAGCATGTACCACATTTGCTGTCTTCCTTCCCTAAAAAAAGGGCAATAATTGCCACCTTTGTTTTTCAAAGAATGAATGACCTCACTAATAGAACTCCACACTGCTATTATTTTGAACATGCCCCTTTCAATTAGTGATTCAATTACACAGAATCAGCAGCAATGCATGTCATGACTGTTGGAGGATCTGTTTTGATTTCTATTACTCTACTACACCTGCTAGTAAATTATTTGCCATGTAGAAATATCATTTCTACAAAAACAGTGATTGATCAGCTTAGTGATGTCTGACTGCTATTATTTTGAACAAAACTGTATATATATTGTACATTGACATCAGTCCCTAACCTTCAAGTCCCTAACTTACATTCATACATACACATACCAGGGCCAATTTAGACAAGATCCTATTAACCAATCAGCATGTCTTTGGAGTGTGGAAGGTAACAGGAGTACCCGGAAAGAAACCCACGCAGGCAAAGGGAGAACATGCAAACTCCAGGCAGGTGGTGCAAATGGTTTGGATCAAAAACCAATGACCCTGGTACTGCCAGGCAGAAGTGCTACCTATTTAGCCACTGTGCTTTAATTCTCTACCCAGTAATTCAACACCACAAACATGTTAAAATGAGATAATAAATGTGTCCCTGGCCCCTAACTTTTCCCTAATCATCATTATCGCTTAACCCTAAAACTAACCATAACAGAACACTAACCCTAAAATAAGACTACGTTTTTACAAACCCCTATATTTAACACTGATGTTACCCTGTGCACTGAAACCCTAGCTGTAATACCTCGACTGTCCTGGAGCAGTCCCTCCTGCTCTTTGGGAAAAGTGCAGGTAACCTATGGTTTTGTGTGTGAGTTAGCTGTGCTTTCCTACTCCATAGACTTCTATGATGTCCTACAGTTTTGGTACAGTTTCAAAACATGCCACCAAAGATGCAGCATTTAGGAGTTTTGGCAGTTTGAAACCACCCTAATAGGAAATGTGTAGTCTTTTTTATGTTTTGGTGATGAATGTAAAATAGATCAGCTAGATGTAAGCAATATTGTCGATGTATGGAGTTAGTTTTTAATTGTATTATACAGTGTATAAACACATGGCTGTATTTTCTCTTTAATCAGGCTCTACTTCCTCCTTTGCAGTTTTGGATTATCATTGCTCATCAAAACATTAATCTACATGTTGGCTGATTTCTTATCACAATTATTGTTAACCAGGGAGGTGTCATGTTTGTTCCCTCTAGTGGCTAATCTACAAATCTACAAATCTCTACATATTATAATCCAATACAAATAAGAAAAATAAGAAGGGAAAACATGCGTAGGTCACATCATTAATTTCGTACAGATGAATACTGTAATGCGCATTTAAAATCTGCACTTATGAAAATGTATAACCAATAATTAACATTAAAATACCCCTTAAAATCTAATACAAGAGTAGAGAAAAGGAAAGGAAGCCCAGATATAAGAGGGATAAAAACACACAAAGGATACAAAGATATAAAGGTTTTGTAAATGGAACATACCTTAAAATATTTTAAGTCAATATCTTGTCTAATGTTGTTGTAAAATTTAAATAAAACTATATGTTATGTCTCATTTACATTGTTAAATGTTTGTGAATCTGTAATTCTCATACCGTTGTATATGGTATGTACAGGAGAAGTTTTCCACCTATAGCAATACCCCCGCAGGAGACGCTAATAGGGTTGGGTCCTCCTTTCTCACCTTGTTCTGTAAGCAAACCTCAACCCCTCTGACACCTCAGGTTATACAACCTTTGTCAGCTTGGATTTGAAAACTTTGCAGTACCTTAAGGTTTTTACCCTGTAATCATACCAAGAGTATACAGTAGGTAACAGCATATATTATCTATTGAGAAGTAGGTGTATAGAGTATAACAGTATAGCATGTAGTAACGTGCATTTCACTGACAATGTGCACCAATAATAAGTGGACTTTTACACATGAAGTCTAAACTATAACTTCCCCACAATGTTGACAACAGACAACAGATGGTTAATGTAGCAAGAGAATAGAGCTGAAATGTCTTAGTGTACCATGATGGGTGGGCATTGGGCCTAGTCTCTCTATCTTTCTGCAAATGAACAGTGCGAGTTGTCAGGAATGGACTGGCCACAATATTGGGACTCACCTGCCTTATGAGCTGCAGTACAGGGCTGGCCAGCGGGTGCTCCCAGCAATCAGAGACTCAACCTTGCAGCCAGTCAAACACCTGGAACTAATTATACTGGTGTATTTAAGGGACATTCAGACCTGCAGACTACTGCCTTGGTGTTGTGTTTCTCCTGGGCCCTGTTTCCTGTTGCTGTTCCTGTTCCTGTCCCTGTCTGATTCTCTGCTGACCCTGCTCTGATCCCTGGCTTGTCTGACCATTCTCCTGTTCCTGATCCCTGGCTTGTCTGACCATTCTCCTCTGCCTGACCCTCTGTACCACGTCTGCCCGCTACCTGCTGAACCTGGCTTGTGACCCTGACCATTCTCCGCTTGCTCCCCCTGTACCTACCTGCCCGATTGATATTGACCCAGCCTGCCTGACGACGCTTGCATTGTATGTTACTGTTATCTGTGGGTGGTTGGTTTGGTTGTTTGCACTGTGTTATGTTTTAGTATTGCACTGCGTTTATGTTTGTATTGTTAGTGTTAATAATTAACATAGTTTATAACATATCTGAAGTCTGCGTTTCCCTGCGTCAGTCACACACCTCTGGTCATACCCGGGAGCCCTGACATTACACCAAGGCCAATCCTGACCAGAAGTGGCTGCACAGGGAAGCCATCTTGGCTTGTTGATGTGAAGGATGGATCCTGATGAGGTTGCGTATTTATATCTGCTAGTGTTTGATGACAGGGAGTATGCTTATCAGACTCTGAAGGAGTATCCCCGGGATGAACTACTAGAATGTATACGGCTCGCTCATTGTTCTAGTAGATCAAGGCACAGAAATTTCTCTGAGGTGACAGCATGCCATTGATTCAGGTTTTGTGCTGAGTTGGTTTCATCTGGTAGCCCCCGAATGCAGGGATGAATTTTGCCACCATTTAGTGCAGACCAGGTAGAGTCCCTGGTGTGGTTATTAGAGGATGATGTGGGTTACTTTCTGGAGCGTTATTCCACATGTTCACCACAGATACTAAGAGATTGTATAAACGCAGTGCAGTCTTTGGTCAGACAGGCTTTGTGTAAGCTCAGCTTTCTTCAACCCATTACTGCAGACATGGACAGATTTGTTGCACCCAGCCTCAGTCAGCTTGCAAAAACCCAGTCCTGCTTCTAATCTATTTCCTCAAAGCTCTACTCCTGTATTCCCAACAGCTCCTCCAGTTACAGCCCAGTATACTTGGCTATCTACCGCATGTCAGTACCCTGTTCCCACTCGCTGCACCTATCCTGCCTTTAACCCTGTAAAAAAGCCCTCTGTAGCAACTGCTCCCTCCACTGTCCCATCCTCCACTCTTCTCTGTCTCCAGCTGCTCCATTCGTTTGCAGACCTGCGTTTACTTGCAGTGCTCCAGTAGTTTAAAACCAGAAAAAAGTGAAAATTCTTTACCAACCAATACCATCCTGCCAGTATCCAAACCGGTGAACCTGCCTTCCGTGGTTCAGCCTGAAGCCTCTACTCAGCCTGAAGCCTCTACTGGAGCCTGAAGCCTCTACTCAGCCTGAAGCCTCTACTCAGCCTGATGCCTCTACTCAGCCTGATGCCTTCTCTCAGCCAGATGCCTGCATTCAGCCCTGATGCCTCTACCCAGCATGATGAACTGATCCAGCCTTACGATCCTATTAGGCCTGGTGACCCGAATGCCCTGCTGTCGAGCCAGACAATCCGGTTTACCTGATGACCCGGTGCCCGCTGTCATGCCAGTTGGACTCAGAGCCCGCTGTCGTGGCCTGTGACTCGGTGCCCACTGCCTTGCCAGATGACGCGGTGCATCCCGCTGGCGAGCTAAATGGACCTGATGCCTGGTGGACCCAGTGCCCGCTGTCATACCTGGTGACCCGATCCCCTGTCAACGGCCAAATGACCTGATGCCTGGTGATCCCAGTGCCCGCTGTCATACCTGGTGACCCGATGCCCCGCTGTGTCAGGAATGCCAAATGACCTGATGCCTGGTGAGACCCAGTGCCGACTGTCGATACCCTGGTGACCAATCGATGCCCGCCTGTCGTAGCCAGACAATCCGGTACTGATGACCCAGTGCCCGCTGTCGTGCCAACGTGAGTCAGAGACCACTGTCCAGTGCCTGGTGATTCGGTGCCCCTGCAGAGTCTTGCCAGATGACTCGGTTGCCCGCTGTTCCGCCAGTTTGACTCGAAGCCCCCTGTGTTGGATCCATGGACGACTCGTGCCCTCAAACAAGCCACGAACAACTCGGTGCCCGCAGTCTTGCCAGACGACTCAGTGCCCCCGCAGTTAGACTGACGCTGTTCCAAGACGACTCGGTGCCCGCAGTCTTGCCAGGTGACTCGGTGCCCGCAGTCTTCCCCAGACGACTCAGAGCCCGCTGTTCCGCCCATTTGACTCGGTGCCCGCTGTTTACGCCAGACGACTCGGTGCCCAGCAGTCTTGCCTCATACGACACGGTGCCCGCTGTTCTCCGGTGGCCGCCTGTTCCGCGTGACTTGATGCCCGCTGTTCCGCCAGACGACTCTGTGCCCGCAGTCTTTCGGTGGCCATGGACGACTCGTGTGCCCAGCAGTCATGCCATACTACTCGGTGCCCGGCAGTCTTGGCCAGGACGACTCGTGTGCCCGCTGTTCCGACCAGTTAGACACTCGATGCCCGCTGTTCGCGCATACGACACGGTTGCCCTCAGTCCTTGCCCAGACATCGACTCGGTGCCCGCAGATCGTGCCAGACGACTCGGTGCCCCGCAGTCCTTGCCAGAGCGACTCGGTGCCTCGCCACTACTCCAGCCTGATGCCTCTACTCAGCCTGATGCCTATTCTCAGCCAGATGCCTGCATTCAGCCTGATGCCTTCTACCCAGCATGATGAACTGATTCCAGCCTGACGATCCCTATTAGGCCTGGTGACTGCCCGATGCCCGCTGTCGAGCCAGAACAATCCGGTACGTGATGACCCCAGTGCCCGCAGTCCGTGCCAAATTGAGTCAGAGTCCACTGTCGTGCCTGTGATCCTCTTGCTGCCCTGCAGTCTGTGCCAGATTACTCGGCGCCCGCAGTTCCGCCCCATTGACTCGATGACCCTGCTGTTCCTGCCAGACAGACTCCGGGTGCCCGCAGTCTTGCGCATACGACATCGGTGCCCAAAGCAGTCTTGCCCAGAACCGACTCCGGTGTCCGCAGTCCTTTGCCAGGTGACTCGGTGCCCGCAGTTCTTGCCAGACACGCATCTCAGTTGCCCCGCAGTGTCCGCAAGTTGACTGTCGATGCCCGCAGTATTTCCCGCCAGTACGACTTCCGTGCCCGCATTCTTGCCCAGACGACTCGGTGCCTCTCCTGTTTCCTCCAGTTAGAGACTTGAGCCTCGCTGTTCGGGGGGGCCAGACGACTCGGGTGCCCTCAGTCTTGTCCAGACGAGCTCGGTGCCCACAGTTCTCGCCAGACGACTCGGTGCCGCGCAGTCCATTGCCATACGACGACTCGGTGCACCGCTGTTTCCGCCAGATGACTCTATGCCCGGCTGTTCCGCACAGACGACTCACGGTGCCCGCAGTCTTGCCAGACGACTCAGGTGTCCCGCAGACTTGCCAGAGATCCGACTCGGTTCCACGCATTCTCGCCAGACGACTCCGGATGCCCCGCCTACTACTCAGCGCAGATGCATCTACTTCAGGCCTGATGGCCTTTTCTCAGCCAGATGTCCTGCGATCTCAGTCCCGATGCCCTGTCGCACCCTCCTGGGGGCCTCGGTTGCCCGCCGCTCCGCTTATGGGAGGGTCCCGATGCTCTGTTGCCCCTTCCTGATTGGCCCTGTCCGCCCGCCACATCCGCTAGGGGACCCGATGGCCTGTCGCCCCGATGCCGGGGGTGCCCTGTGCCTAGCTGCTCCGCCTTGTGGGGCCTCGGTGCCCGTGCCTTGCTGCTCCGCCTGGGGCCCGGTGCCTGCTGCCCCACCCGGTGGCCCGCTGCCTGCTTGCTGCGCCTGATATATCCGACTGAGCTTTCTGCCCAAGGAGTCCGAGCCACGCTGTGCCTCTGCCCGTAGTCCAGCCCGATTGTGCCTCTGCCCGAGTCCAGGCCCGATGTGCCTCTGCCCAGAGTCCAGCCCGATGGGTGCCTCTGCCCGGAGTCCCAGCCCCGAATGTGCCTCTGCCCGGAGTGCCATCTGCCCCCGTGTGCCGCTGCCCGGAGGTGCCTCTGCCCGGAGTCCAGCCCGATGTGCCTCTGCCCGTAGTCCAGGCCCGATGTGCCTCCTGCCCCGATTATCCAGCCCGATGTGCATCATGTCCCAGCGAAGTCCCAGCCCGTATGTGCCTCTGCCCGGAGGTTCCCTGTCCTGAATGGTGGCTCTTGCCCTGTGTGCCGCTGAGCCTGGAGTGTCCTGACCCTGTTGGTGCCAGTCGTTCGATAATCCCCGCCAATTTACCATACCCGTGCGCTGGAACATTTTGCCCAGCTAGGACTGTTTGGAGCGACCTGAGGGCCGCTCCCCTTGAGGGTGTGTACTGGTCAGGAATGGACTGGGCACAGTAAAAATTATTGGGACACACCTGGCCATATGAGCTGCAGTACCAGGGGCTGGCCAGCGGGTGCTCCAAGCAAATCAGAGACTCAACCTATGACCAGCCAGTCAAACACCATGGAACTAATTATACTGGTGTAATTTAAGAGGACATCATTCAGACCTGCAGACTCTGCCTTGAGGTGTTGTGTTTCTCCTGGGTCCAGTGTTTACCTGTTGCTGTTTCCTGTGTCCTGTCCCTGGTCTGATTCTCTGCTGACCCTGCCTCTGATCCCAGTCTTGTTCTGACCATTCTCCTGTTCCTGATATCCCTGGCATGTCTGACCATTCTCCTCCTGGTGCCTGACCCTCTGTACCACACACGCTGCCCGCTAACCTGCAGAATCTCTGGCTTGTGACCCTGACCAATTCTCCGCTTGCTCCCCCCTGTACCTACCTGCCCGATGATTGATATGACCCCAGCCTGCCTGAACGACTCTTTGCATTGTTAATGTTACTGTTATCTGTGGGTGTTTTTGGTGGTTTGGTTTGCACTGATGTTTATGTTTTTAGTATTGCGACTGCGTTTATGTTTTGTAATTGGTATTAGTGTTAATAAATTACATAGATTAATAACATATCTGAAGTCTGCGATTCCCTGCGTCAGTGCACACACCTCTGGAGTCATCACCCGGGAGCCCTGACAGGCGAGTGCGGCAATATATGAATTAAAAGACTATATACAGCCCTAAGTATGGAATCCTCTGCTGTCTGCAATTGGGCCCCTTGTGTCAATTGGCGTGATTGAATAAAGCTGGCCACCCTTGCACACAGATGTGGTAGTAGTGGGCTATACACTGGTTAGATCGAGGTGCATGAGCAGTGGCAATAACTAGATGTAGGTATGATGCTACCGTTTGGAGGACTCAAACCCCTGTACAGACTGAGTCACCTTTACCCTGTTTTAGGGTTCTATAACAGCAAAAATAGACATTTAGAAGGAGTAGTTTACTACTGATGCCAAAAAAATGGGTTTTGTGGTGGGGGGGAACACCCATCCATGCTCAGGGCCAGGGTTGCCAACCCCCCCACAGGATAGTTTTTACTGACAAATCACGGAGAAATTACTGACACTGACTAGACTACATGCATAATTAAAATTGTGGTAGAACAATTAATGTAAATATACACAATACCTATAAGTTATCTGCCGCAGCTTAAACATTTGGAAAAGTCTAAGGCAGTGTAGAAAAGTTAATATGAATTTGGACTAGAAGTATGGAAGAACCAGAGGCACCTTAGGATAGTGACATAAGGAATGTGTGAGCATTGAGGTATAGCAATAGGCGGAAAGGGAATTGCAAAAGAGTGGGAGTAGGGATACAGAAGGAACAAAGAAAAAGAAGAGAAAGAGGGAAGACAGAGGTAGCAGTGGAGAAGATAGAGTAGGAGAGATAGAGTAGAGAGAAGGGGGGGGGGGTGATATAGGGAGAGAGAGAGAGAGAGATGAGAGATGGAGCGCAAAAATGAAGAGAAGGGCTTTGTGTCCAGCAAATGAGCTCACAGCGTGCGCAACATTCTCGAGATTAACCTCCTCTTAAAAATCCAAGCTCAGATTCACCTGCCCATAGACTTGGCTACATCACCCCCATCTAGCCGACAATGGCAGGTATTAGGCAATCTTCCCTCACCCAGCTCCAATAATTCTCTTCTCAGCTCAAATGTCGTAAGCAATCTTGGGAATGGGTAAGTGTTACAAGCACCTCACAAAAGGCTGAGTAGGACAGCATGAGGCATATTAACTGTATCTTCCAGTTAGACCCATCTGTTTCTCCGTGCCTAGTCATCACGGCCACTTCTATAACGGTTTGAGAGGCTGATTTCTTACTGCTGCTGTTGCATTTTAACGGACATGCTGATAAAAATTGACTTACAGGATTGGTTGGCAACCCTGCACAGGGCTCTTGGCTGTTAAAGCTCTAACCAGCATCCCCTGGGCATCAAAGCAACCAGTGCCCGACCTTCCTCAGCTGTCCACTTGGGGATTCTTGAGTCTGACAGATGAATCTTTCTAGACAAAGGGATCGGGTTACGTGTGGGATTGTCTTGAGTATGGATATATATAAAGAGAAACCCCTGGCAATAAAAACAAAAAAAAATAATGATGTTAAAAAAAAATAAAAGTACCCCCAGAATCCATACCAGCATTTATATCTTAGCATGCAGCATACTCCTACTCCATTCACAAAAAAATAACATACCCTACTCATTCACAAAACAAATACATACACTACTCATTCACACAAAAATAACATACGCCTACTCAATTCACAAAAAAATACATACCAAACACACCATTGTCAAAGCCCACCATTCATTCACTCTACAAATGAACAGCTCCTTGCTCACAGGTTTGCTAAATGTAAACCAATGTGGCATAGTCTCTTAAACCAAGTGACATCGATAACCAAAATTCGGACATGGCCATATTTGAATCAATGTATTGTCAGCAGGGATCCTGTGTAAAATGTCCGAGTTACTCCATATTTGATCCAATCATGGTCACCAAGGAAGACTCCATCTGTTTGTTTCCACTCTGCGTGCACGAGTGAAAGTGAACTGTCATTCAAAGTGAAGTGAGTGGCACCGATTATATATATCACATGTGCTGGCTTGTTTTTGTAAAAGTCGAATGCACATTGGTACATATAGAGGTGTAACATTAGTCATAAATTATAAGTCCTGCTAGATTCACTTCATGCAGGACCCTTGTAGTGGGTATAGCTATGTAAAACATTAAAAATAAGTTTTACTGTTTAAAATCTAGTAGTACACTCCTCCACCTTGCTCTGCGCATGCACATTGCTCTCTTGTTTTTGCACTGTGCCGAAAATGTAGAGGCAGACCTGCTGACAGCCTAAAGAATTACTGCTGGCTCAGGGGCATACTGGGCTTCAGACTTGACTTTGAGAAAACACATGCGCACAAAAGCCTGTCAGAGTCAACATCCCCATCTGCCTAGACTCTGCGGTATAGCTATTACAAGGCTCTAGTGGCTAAATAATCTATATAATCTTAGTATTTATATCTTGTCCCATAATGAAAAAATTAATTTCTGAAAACAAGAGGATTTCCTGCTAAACAGTAGTTTTGATGGGTATACTTAAAAGAGAATGTTTTTTGTTCTTATTTTAAATCATACTTACTTTATGTAAAGATGCATTTTATTGATGTCAATGCTGATCTGTCCCTGACTAGTCTCTAATGGGTGAGAACTTAGCAATCAGACACTGCTGATCACTTAGTTCTCCCTGCGCTCTTCACAGAGATCATGACTGTCAGTTTCTAGGATCCTCAAAAAATATGCAAAAGACCTGGTCATTTGTAACTACAGAAAACATAGTTTTTTTAATATTGATTATTTCATACCCTGCATAGTACATATATCTAATTGAAATTGTCAGAGAGTCACTGCAGACACTGTGGGGGAGCTGCATCAAAACTAGTAACAGCACTATGGAAAATGTGCAACACAGTGGTGTGGGGAGTGTTGTGGACATGCTTGAGGAACGGTTTGTTCGTAAGGAAAAAATATAACTCAACTACAGTAATGGGCATTTTGGTGTCCTAATAGCTGTATGGGGTAATGGATTGATGACAGTACTCGTATGAATGATTAGTAATGCTTTTTTATGAAATAGTATAGTTAATAGGTTTTTCGT